TGGGACTTGAACCTGCATGGGATCCGATCTGATAGTAAAGACTAACTTTATTTATGATTTTTGGATTCAATTTCAAGGGTAACTGGGATTTTGCTGTAATAAAAGTCCAAAATGCCATATTTATCGATTTTATATTTTTAATCAATATATTGATATCATGGTTGAAAATATGGGGTCTTTGCCTTGAAAATGACCTTATGGTACATGATACCGTAAGGTCATTTCAAGGCAAAGACCCCATATATAAAAAATTAAACTTCAACACAAGACTTTTTTTTTTTCTTTTTCTAACCTAATTTTAGCTTGCTGCAATTTATATACTGTATTAGTGTTAAAACAAGCAAAATAATACTGTACTTTAATTTTAATTATATAGTTATAAATAGAGAATTAAAGATATAATATTACATATTATATAGTATATATATAATTATAGGAAACTGCTTTGTTTATTCTGTATTATGATACAGTATATTATATATACTTTGTAATAGTTTGCAATATTGACCAGATAGGATGTAAAGCACATCTATTTTAAAAAGTCGTACAATACTGATCCGGTTTATATACGGATGGTGCTGAAATTAGAACCTATTCAATGTACGATTTTTAAAATTTTTTTAGATACATTTTTTAGGATTTGGAGTGCCTGCATCATCCGCGTTAAGGTTAAAAATATCAGATTATCTATTATGATAAAAAAATAGATACTGCAGTGCTTGTATTTTTACACCTCTATACCATACAATTCTGGTCATCCACACTATTGTAAATAAAATTAGAAAGCTAGAAATCAATTTAATTTATTGTTCATTTGCAATTTGATCCGTTATGAGTAGTTGCTTGGATTAATGTTAGTATAGTAACGGCTCGGTTCGGAGCCATTTGTAAACCGATCAACCTCAAGCCGAAGGATTGTCTATATTTGTAGTGTGACAAAAAATTTTAATCTCACGTGGAATATACAGGTAACATTAACTGTTGATGTTAAATGAACCTTGTGTCCATAATTTACATTAACCAATCAAATTTTCTGCCTGTAATATTCGAAAAATTACAATGAAATGAAACATTACTTAAATCATCGAGTACACAAAAAGTAGTATAATTAGTATATCTCATCAGTATGGTGATCCGTTTGCTACGCCACATTTTTTTGAACACTGGTTTTATAAAAAGAAGTTTATCCAATTTTCGTTTTTTTTTTTTAAAGATACATTATAGATTACCGTTTTACAAGACTTTCTTTTAACTACTTCTTAAATATTATGCCTTTAAACTACGTAAGCATTTGTATCGCTCTTTACGATTACACTGCTCAAAACGACGATGAAATTTCCTTTAAAGAAGACGACATACTTTATATTCTAGAAAACGACGACGAAGAATGGTGGAAAGCTAAACTAAAGATCGAAAAAAACGGTGATGAAAACACTGAAGAAGGCCAGATCGGACTTGTGCCTAGCAACTACATCCAGGAGGTATGTCATTGAGGCTTTCAATATACTAGAGTATAAGTCTATAGCCGATCGTATCTTGGATTATGCAGAGATCTGCTTTTTATTTGGATTATTGTAAAGATCCTTCAATTTTCTTTAACAATCAACTGTTGTATTTATTATATTGTTTAGGCCGAATGTAAAAATGTTTTGAAAGCTGTTTACGATTACGAGTCACAGTCTGACGAAGAACTGTCATTTAAAGAAGACGATATATTATATTTATATGACAAAGATGACTCTGACTGGTATTTGGTTAAATTCAATGATGTATTTGGTTATATACCAGCAAATTATGTTGAAGAGGTTAGTAAAAATAATTTTTTTTTATCAATTTCTATATAATAAAAGATCATCAGTTAAAATTAATTTTCTGGTTGAATGCATATATTTACAATTGATTAATCATTATTTTTGATCTATTTCATTTTTAGACATCGATTGATTCTGAGGAACAAGAACAACAAGAAAATCAAGAACCAAAGAAAAAAATGTCTCTATTTGACGCTTTATCGGTATATATAAAGCATTTATCTTTATCAAATATACGCAATCTTTATTTTTTTTCAATCTTGCACGATCTAAAAAAAAAAAAAATTTTCTATTATCGTATTCAGAGTTCATCTGATAATAAATATGTAGATCCATTGCAACTGTATGCTCGTAAAGTTGCTACTCAAAAAAGTGGCACGTCATCGGCACCTGATGTTAAGACATGGTCTGTTTCGGTAATGTATTATATTATTCATTTCGAATTGGTATAATTAAATTATTTAATTGTCATTTTTAACTTTCTACATTTATTTAGGAGGTTGTTGTTGTTGATAAGAAAAAAAAGAAAAAGAAGGGTAAACTAAGCATTGGGGGCGACAGTGTATATTATGCTAGTGAAACAGACAAGGTATTTACATTTAAAGATGTTAAAAAATTATAATTTATATTTTAAACTCTAAAATGCAAATTTTCATGTAAACATTTAGACTCCTGTCCAAATTTGGAAGATTAGTGATTTGGAGAGTGTCAAATATGAGAAAAAAAATGTTACAATAAAATTTGGTGGTCCAAAATCTGCGACTTTTAATTTTCATACTTCAAGTAAAAGTGATGCTGAAGCTATTTATCGACAATATGAGGAGTGCGTTGCAAGTTTAGAGTTACCATCTGTCAAACTTGATGCAAGCTCTATAAAATCTCCACGACCGTCTTCAGCACACGATACTGAAGAAACTGAGTCACAACCTGACGCTGAAGAAAATGAAGCAGAAGAGGTTAATGAGATAGAATTGCCACCACCTAAAGTTGGTATTGCGTTATATGATTTTGACGCTCAAGGAGACGATGAAATCTCAATTCAAGAAGGCGATGAAGTATGGGTTATCGACGATGTTAGTAGCGATGAATGGTGGAAGTGTCGTAAAGGTGATGAGGAAGGTATGGTACCTTCTTCTTATATTGAGGTAAGCATAAATTAGAAGTTATTCCATGGTTTTACATGTATATAGCTTATTAAGGTTAATTGTTTTTTGACAGATACGAAATGAAGATGATAATGCTGATCAAGTTGCTGCCGAAGAGGAACGACAACGTTTAGAAGAAGAAGAATTCCAAAGAGCAGAAGAAGAACAACTGAGAAAAGAGGAGGAGCGTCTGAGGAAGGAAGAACGACAAAGGAAGGAGGAAGAACGACAGAGGAAGGAGGAAGAACGACAAAGGAAGGAGGAAGAACGACAAAGAAAAGAAGAAGAACGTCACAGGCGTGAAGAAAGTGACAGAAAACGAAAAGAATCAGAAAGACGTTTGTTGGAAGAAAAGAAGCGAAAGGAGGAGTCCGAGTCCCCACCGTCACCACCACCACAACCTCCAGCATTACCAAGTATAATTAGTTTTAATAGTATCCACCTTTTCATATTTTCCATACGTTAACCCCTTTTTATAATATGACAGCTCGTCCACCCGCTAAGTCGAAGTCTTCTTCAGGTATTCTAACTATTATTATATATAATTTGCTTTTTTTCAATATTATTTTATATACTTATTTTTTCATTTTGATTTATAATGCATAGACGAAGCTGCCATTAAGAAAATCCAAACACCAACAAACCGCATATTACCTGATAGACCTGCCCAAGCCCAGTCAAAAGATAGTATGTTAAGTTTATTATTAGGTTTTACAAAATTAATTTCAATTCCGACATTTTTTTTTTTTTTTTTTTTTGTCAATGAAAGAACCACTTCCATCGAACACAAGAACCTGGACAGATCGGACTGGTTCATTTCGAGTTGAAGCAGAATTTCTTCAACTTGTTGACGGCAAAGTACATCTCCATAAACTCAATGGCATAAAAATTGCTGTTCCCGTTGATCGGATGAGCAAAAAAGACATTGCATATCTTGAGGAAAAAACTGGGGAAAAACTAGATGACAAATCTGACAAATCTGACAAATCTGATAAATCTGATAACATACCTTTGGCTGCTATTGTCGCTGGACATAAAGGAAAGACAACCTTAACAAATAAAAATAAATCGGAATATGATTGGTTTGACTTCTTTCTCAAAGCTGATATCACGCATGACGATGCGTTCAGATACGCTAAAGTATTTATCAATGAAAAGATGGATGAAAGTTCGATAAATAATTTAGATCGTAATGTGATGAAAGAGCTCGGCTTGAGAGAAGGTGATATAATTCGAGTAACCAAGTATATTGCTGAAAATTATTCGTCTATTAAAAAGAAAACCGGTATTGACGAAAATAAAGAAAGAGAAAGGAAAAATAAGGAAACGGTAAAGAGAGTCCAGGTACTTGAAATAATTTCTTTTATAATATTTGTTTATTAATTATAAAAATCATCATTTAATTATCTTTACATTTATCTGAAATATTCTCACAAAGTTTGAAGAACCCGAAAAATCACAAAAAATGACAGAGTTTGACATAAAGATACAAATGAAACGTGATGAACAACTAGCTAGAGAACTTCAAGAGGAAGAAAATAGGAAAGCACGTAATGAAGGACGGCCAATCCCAAAAGATGCTGACTTGTATGGTAAAGGGACTCTAGATTCACTCATTCAACGAGATGACAAAACGACATCATCGAAATCTCCACCACTACTTTTTTCTGAAAACAATGGTGTTTTGAAAAATAATACGAAAAAAGCTCGTCCTACCCCCACAAAAACGGCACCAATACAGGTTGATGCGAAAACTTTTGGAAATACTATGAGCACTAAGGATCAATTGGATGCTGCTTTTAAGCCATCTTCAAATTCTTCAAGTTCATCGTCTTCTACGGCACAGAAATTTGATGATGATGCTTGGAATATTACTGATTCAACTCCCGCGTTAGTACCAACTTCAACGGTGGCGCCGCCACCACCTCCTCCCCCTCCTCCACCAGTAGTCACACCAAGACCTCCTCTAAATAATCAATTAGCTAGTACAAATATTTCCACAAATTTGAATACTAATGCTTTGACTTCTTTAAGACCTGCCGTTTCTTCTTATTCTATCAATTCGTCTACATCACTTCCTGCCCAACCTTCTCAACCTTTAATACAACAAAATTTAGCTACCCCATCTCCCCCTCCCCCGCAACCAATCGTTGTTCCATTGAATTCTGCCCTTCATCAGCCTTTAATTCCAGTTAAATCTGGAAGTTCTCCACAATTTACCGCGCAATTTAATTCATCAACTCCGAATTTGAATACTTTTAACGCACCAACTTCCAATGCTCTTACTACAGCACAATTTTCATCAACTCCAAACTTGAATTCTCTTAGCGCACCGATTCCTAATGCACTTACTTCAATGCAATTTTCATCAACTCCAAATTTGAATACTTTTAATACACCGAATTCTAATGCACTTACTACAATGAACAGTTATGGAAGGCCAAATTCGTCCGGGAATTTTCCAAATTCAAATAATGCAAATTCATTAGGATCTATTGGGAATTTCAACAACTTTTCAAATACGAATAGCAACTGGAACAACACAAGTAGGTGAATTTATTTTAGATCATTTGAACTAATGATTTTGGTGACTTACTACTTCATATATATGTAGGTGTATCCATGTTGCCCACCAATAATACTTTATCAAATCCTAACCCGGGATTTGGCTCAACTGGTATAAATAATCAGTATATGACAACTACGACAACTGTCCAATATCATCAAACAACCTCGTTCCATCAACCCATGCAGAATCAACAACAAACAAATTCGTCAATATATGATCCGAAAAATGTGTTTGCTTCCATGAAGGCTGGACAAATTGGGCCAAAATCTCCACCAAATGATTTAGGCATTAATGGTAGTTATGTTATTAACGGATTACTTATATTACATAAAGTTTACTTGGATTCATAAATTTTACCTGATAAATTCTTAATCTATATATAACTTTTAGCATCGACTGATAGATATGCTGCTTTAAAGCAAGTGAATCCCCAAGGTCCAAGTGTCTTCAATAATACAACATCTACATTCCAGGCGCAAAGTACTTATTATCCATACATTTAATTATTGGATTTCATTTTAGCCGTTCTAATTAATAGTCATTGTTCAAAATATTTTCTTTAGCCTCAACTAGCTATGGTTTAAATCCAAGTGGATTCAATGCTAGTTCTGCAAATTGGAATCAAGGCGTTCCTCTTGGACAACAACCTGGTCAATTTGGACCTAACCAACAGGGATTTGGTACTACTAACACCGGATACAACAACAACAATCAACAACTTAATAATTTCAACCAAGGAGGGTTTAATAATTTTAACCAAGGAGGGTTTAATAACAACAGACAGGTAATATTTCGGTATTTTTGATTTGTTTTTTTTTTTTTTTTTCCTTGCTATTTTATACTAATCGAGTCTATGCATTTATTAGTGGTAAACTTCATTTTTATATATATTAATATCTTAAAATTCATTCTACATGTTTTTTTTTTTTTTTTTTGTATTATATTAGAAATTATCTGTTATGAACTTTTAACATTAAATAATCTAACTTTTTGTTGACAAAAATTCTTATGACAAATTAAATTTTCACACGATAAATATCAAATAACTATTTTTTTGTATAAGTAAAAAATTTTTGGATTGTAATAAAAAAAAGAATTATGGATAATTTTCTAGTTGTTAGAAAATGAAATGTTATACAAGTGCTAAATTTTAACGTTATACAGTTCTATATAGAGGTGCACAAAGATTAAACGTATAAAAAATAGTTTAAATTGGGTTTTATCCAAATCTATAGAACTTAGTGCATATTCTTGTATTTTTTAAGATTTAATAGATTATAATATATAGAATTTTCTAAATTAGATAAAACATAATGCAGTAGTATGCCTGTGAATTTCATCTTGGATAATAGTAATAGTACTTTATTAAAAGTTTATTTTTATAAAAAATAATTAAGGATGCATTAAACTTTTGAAAAATTTTACCTTTTTGATTATTTTGCTCAATATTTATGAACTGTTATTTGTGATTTTTTGTGCTAGATTTTTAGAAAGAATTTACAAATTCTTTCGCTGTAGTCTTGATTATCAATTTATCTGCTTAGTATACTTCTATTTCCACAATCTACTAAGGGCTAGGTGAGTTTAAGTGTTCTATGATAAATTTCCATATTTCTGGGATAGACTTTATGTTTTCCAGGGTAATTTTGGCTTTTTCACCAGGAGGCACCAAAATGTTACAATGCTACGGCCTTCTTGTACATAACGTAGCAAGGTAACATAGCATCCGATGAAGGGATCCTACTCTTGGGATATACACGGGGTGGAAGTGGAGTGTACTTCAAATTCCACTAGCAGGAGGCAACGGTTTGGCATGGGGACAGTATAATTTATACCTTTATTTATTATAGATCAAGAGGATAATCTCACCTACTAGGATTACCCTAGAGAGTATAAAGATACAGGGAGTATTTAACTATATATCTATTCTAATCTTATAATAATTTTCAATAATATTAAATAATAATTTTATAATAATTTTAAAATAATTTTATTATTATTATACTAAAATTTTATCTTAAATTTATTTAAAAATAATTTTATAATTATTAAAGTATTTTATTAATATTTTTAAAATTATCTTAATTTTATTAAAAAAAATAACTATGATAGTTTCTGTAAACTAGCTAGTATTATTTAAATTTTGGTATCTACTCTAGGTGGGTACCAAAATTTCTTGTATGCAGAAGAGCTTTAAACCTGTTTTCAATCACATCTAAGTACAGTCAGATCCTCCTAAATGCACATTTCCTAAGTGCATGGTATATAAAAAACTTCTAATATGCACACCTCTGCTTGGTCCCAACTCATATAACAATTATAAAATTTAATCTCCCTAAGTGCACACCTTCTCTAAGTGCACATTTTGCATTTTTTTTACTATGATCCCGAGAGGTGTGTACTTAAGGGCAGTGTTGTCATAGGATAGCTTTGAACAATACTTTGGACAATCTTGAACAATTTTGAACAATTAAATAAAGTAAAATTACTTAAAATTTTATTAAGATAACCTATTTTAATTTTAATTAAAATGAATTTAGCACCTAAAAAAATATATAGTTATATATTTTTTAGATAGATTTATTAATTATTAAAGCCTAGACAAGCTTTGGATAATCTTGAACACTTGGACAATTTTGGACATGAACAAGTCAAAAAAGGTTATAGATAGCCAAAATATACAACACTGGATATAGGTACCCTTTGAACTGCCCATGGGCCCCAACTATTATTGTCCAAAAATGTAACTATTTAGATTTTTTTGAAGTTATCAATTTTCTTATATAATTTCAGAATTTTATATCTAAGTTTTAACAAATATAGTTTATTTAGTATTTTATAAAAATTTGTAATTCTTTTTATACTTTTTTAGTACAAATTAGATTAGCATAAAAATCTACTATAAAGAGCTTCTAATAATATAATTACTTTATACCTGGGTTGATTAAAACTAAAATTCAAAAAAAATAAAAATAGAATTTATAAGATTTTTACTAATATAGTATATCTATTATTTTAGAATTAAAATTACTATAGAAATTAATAGTTGTGCTCTTATAAAGATTTTCAAATATTATTTATTGCAAATAAATTTCATAATAATATAAAAATCTTTAGATTTTTACTAGTTTATATAATTGTTGTGATTAAGAAATATTTGATGATATTTTTAAACTTTACAGTATAACAAAGCCAATTTCTAACTAATACCTATTATTACATATAAATAATAAATTATATAAAATTTTAAAAACCAAATTAAAGTTCAAAATTACAATATAAGATTATAATTACCAAAACTCACAGTAATATTAAGCATAATATATTATAGTTAATAAAAATCAAATTTAAATATTATTTATAAAATCTTTTAGATTATATAAATTTAGCAATACTGGTAAACAAATAAAAAGATAAAATACTAATTTTATTAAAATTTTAGCTTTATTCTAAAAAAAATTACCTAAAATTTTTATAAAAATTAAAAAAAAAATATTTATAATTTTTATAAAAATTAAAAAAAAAACAAAAAAATTACCCAAAATCTTTATAAATATTAAAAAAAAAATTAAAAAATTTAAAAGATTATAGCCAAACTAAATAAGAATCATTTATTAATAAATTTATAAATTTTAGCTATATTTATTTGCTATATTTAACTAATTTCTTTGATATATTAGTGTAGTTATTGTATTTGTGTTTAATAAAGTATAATTATTATTATAGCTAATGCTAAAAATGGCTAATCCTAAAATTTGAAGTCTCTATTTAAATCTATAATATATACTAAAATCTATATATACTTTTTTATTAATAAAACTATTCTACTAACCCTAATTCAACTATAAAAAAAAAGTATACAAAAAAAGTCCTAAAATTTTTTATAAATTTATTACAAAATATAAAAAAAATTTAGTATTAGCCATTTTTAGTATTAGCTACAACAATTGTTATTAATAATATAGTCTATATAACCAAATATTTGTTTTGATACTATAGTATAGATAACTGGCCTTGCTAATTATACCACTTGACTTAACATGAAGAGAGTAAAAACAT